GCTGTCCCTAACAGCTGTAAAGAACACAGTATCCCTCTGTCTAGAAAACTGCCTGGGTGAATCACGCTTTCCTCTGATGACCATGAGGTTTGACTGTTGTCAGACCGTGTATCTAGAAGTAAAACTTGGGCTTTGGAAAGTTGAGACTCATTCAAAATATGTCTGCGTAAGTGTCCAGGGCCCAAATGCTTACCCTCACAGTACAGCGTGGTTAAAAAGGACGGGTCAGTACACGGGGGTTGGAAACTGAGCTTTTCAGGGGTCTCATGCTGTTGCTGCAGGCTGTTTTACCTTTCAGTTTGCAGGGGTAATGGAGCTACTTGCACTCCAAAGGTCCTTATTTTTGCTCATGCCTGGGGGACATCGAGTCATGCAAATGAATGTTGATTCAACCACAGTCTTCTGACGGAGGTAGTTTAATAAAACAAACAAACAAACCACCAGAAACCCTCTGAATAGTAATTTTTTGCCTCTGCAGTGGTTCATGGTTGTGGGGTTTTGTTCTTTTCCCCAAGTTGCTTCTCAACACAGACTAAACAGCACCAACCCGCAAATCTCAACTCTGGCTCTGGCAGGTTAAGAAAGCGTTTCGGCAGAAGGCCCTGACTTGTCACCCGGATAAGAACCCAGACAATCCCAGAGCAGGTAAGACGGGGCTGTGCAGACAGAACCAGCTCTTCGTGTTTGCTTTCACACGTGCAGACTCCTGGAAGCGGCTTTGCTTGACTTCACATCTGTCTTTGTGTGTAATTAAAGGAATGCCTGGGTGTGTGTCACACGGAGTGTACATGTGGAGGCTGAGAGTTACGTTTGGCACGAGTAGAGCGCTCTGCGTTTGAAGGTTGAATGCGTACATGTTGGCTTTAGAAACATCCGTGTTAGGTCAGTGCTGAAGTTTTATTTGCAGCTCCAAAAATCTTCCCTTGTGGTATTTGAATCCCGGACCTTTGGCTGTGCTGTCCCTGGTGTTTACTGGCGAGTCACTGGTTTTTATTCGTACCTCTCAGGAGTCAAAACTTCAATGGCAACTTATGAATCATACTAGTGGAACTGAATATACCTGAACTGGTCGCAAGAGCTGGCTTCTGCAGCTACGCCGCTGAAGTTTTGTAGCTCCAGGTAGCAGTGAGCACCAGTGGTAGCTAGAAGGATGCTGTTCATCAAGTCACCTCAAAATAAACATCCTGTATCTTGCATTTTCCAGTTTGATAGGCTACATACAGTCTTACAGGCTGGAAAATTTGTAACCATAGTACAGAGAAACTTTGTCTGCTAGGAAAAAAGATTTTGGCAGCAATGAGAGGAAAGCTAGAGGTTTTGATCCCTGCAGAAGCCTGGGGGGTGATTGGAAGTGTGTGGGGAGGCCTCCAGCTAGTGTGTGTATCCCTCCAGGAAGGGGGTCGGCAGTATTGGTGTAAATACACAAAGTTTAAATCTTGGGCTGAAAAGCTGTTGGTGTTCTGCTGAATTCATGTATTCAGGATCTCTATTAGAATGAAATGGTTCCGGGTTTTGTTTCTTAATTTGCTGCAGTTTATGTAACCAATGTTGTCCTTTGGGTTGGGCAGATCCTGGCTATATGCTGGCTTACAAATGCTTTGGAAAGATTATTCTTCTTTCTGATGTTCTGCAGGTCTCTTCCATAAGGGATTGTCTTTCCTGGTTCATCCTCAGGCCACTAGCATGGTTTTCTGCATCTTACCCTTTTTTCTTCTAATTCCCAGCGGAAGTCTTCCACCAGCTGTCGCAGGCCTTAGCCGTGTTAACAGATGCAGCAGCGAGGGTAAGGATGCCATTCCCCTGGGGGTGTCGGGACTGTGTGGTGTTACTCTCTGCAAGCACATTGGGGAACGAGTGAAAACTCCTCCTGGCTGTCCTGCTCTCTTCTTGATTGAGCCTTCAGGAGTGCAAGTCTTATCCGGTGTTCCCTGTAGTGCTCTGTGAGGTCAAACAGTAGGAACCAGATAAGAACTTGAACAAACGTTCTTTTTTCTGATTTGATGTGCTGGGAGTAGCTCTGTTGGCTGCCAGAGTGAGAGACTGTCTTTAATAACGTGGGACATACCCTATTAAAAAAAAAAAAATTATGGCCACTGCTGATAGGGACTGTATTAAATTCCCATGACAGCGGTGCAGTTGCAGTTCCCTTGAAGTCAGGGCCTGACAAACAAATACTACCTAGTGTGGTTGCTAAGGCTCACTGCGTTTCTTTCATGAGCTGCAGAAGACTTGTGAACAGAAAAGCTCAGTAATAGCCATGATCTCTGTCCTTTTGCTGCAGGCACTTTGCAGGCTGCCAGATGTAGCTCAGACTCTTCTTGGTGTGGTGAAGTCGTTGAGTGCCTGCTGCTCCAGGCCTGAAAGTAACCTGAGCACGTGAGGGGAAAGAATAAAAACAAACTGAAAGTGAGCAAGTAGCTCTATCCAGATAAACTTGGGGGAGAAGGCATAGTAAAATTTCACATAAGATGTAAAAACGTGAAATAACTCTCCTCTCTTCAAACATTGGCAAAGCTTTTAACCCCCTCTCCAAGGGACAATGAAGCTTTTGGCATCCACATTTTAAAAAGGAACGAGTGTTTAGCAAACCCTTGCAGGAAGGAAAAATGCCAGCTTTTCTAGTCTATAAAACAAGAGTGGTGCTTTCTTGTACAACTACTCAACAAGTAAAATTTGAGCACTTGTGTTGGTCTGTGCTTTACCTACCACAGAAAGATTCTGCGTGGGCAGATGAGCAGGTTACCCGCTGCTTTAAACAGGTGCCAGTGAAACTGTCACTTTACCCCAGTTCTGAGGTCTCTGTAGTGCTGTGTCACTGCTCCCAGAGTTCTGAGCGTCTTTGGTCTGATATGTTTGTGCAAGTCAGACATCTCTCTTGTGAATAAATCTTTCACATAAAATAGACTTTTAACTTGTGAAACTTTGCCCTAAAGAAAGCCGGATCTTACCAGCGTCCCTAAAGCTGCCTCTGGCGTGTGCAGGAAACCAAAATGTTTTTCCCACCTGTGCAGATGGGTCACACTTTCCCTCCAGAGCACTTTGCAGGCACTCCGTCTGGAGATCCTCGGGCCTCTAGTCATGTTTTCAGGATATTGTGTTAACATCCAGCACGTTGAGGAAGAAAGCTAGCAAGGAGCAGAAGCTGCAGCACCTCTGCTTACTGTGCTTCCATACCTGGTCTCGTCTTTATTCCCAGCTTTCTGTTGTATCTCTTCTGCTTCACGTGGAAGACGCTAATTGTGTTGGTTCTGTGGCAGGTGGCATATGACAGAGTGAGAAAAGCGAGGAAGCAAGCAGCAGAAAGGACACACAAACTCGACGAGAAGCGAAAGAAAGTAAAGCTTGGTAATAAAACCAAATCTTCGTTTTCCCTTGGCTTGAAGTCTTCATTAGCTGGGTGGTTGCGTTTCCTCTGCTGCTGGGGCTCGCCATGGATGAACCTGCTGTCCCTTGGAGATGGCTGGGGTTTCTTTCTGCCCAGTACAAGACAGGAGCCATCTGAAATGCCACAGCCCTAGCTGGGGAGGGGCCTGCTCTGGGTGGGGGTTTTGGGTAGCAGAGCTATCGGGACTCTGCTTTGAAATTGGTGTAGGTTTAGCCAAGTTTGTGATCTTTCCATCTGCTTCTGGGTAGTGGTGTCAGCAGTGAAAGTTCTCTTTGGATTGTTTTAATTTTGCTTCTTTCTCGGCAGATCTTGAAGCCAGAGAACGAGAAGCCCAGACCCGTGAGGGTGAAGAGGAGGACATCAGGATAACAAGATCATTAGAACAAGAAGTAATGATAAATTCTTAGATTTCTTTGCTTCTTTCGAGAAGAATTGCTGGAAGTCTTGGCAGTCATAATGAACACCATCTTATGAGATGCAGCAAACCTATGTGTAGCAGTCTTTCAGCCTTCTGGGTTAATGGGCTCTGCGGGAGAGAGGCGTGTGGAAGGTATCTTGTAGCAGTCTGGCAAACGGGTCCATCTCGGGGGTTTGTTTTCTGGTAGCAGACAGTAACAGCTAGCTTGGTTATATACTGACTGATAGGGGCCATGTCACTGGAAATGTGAGGGCCCTGATACACGGGCTGGAGCTGGCGGGAGGGGGGAGCTAGCAGAAGGGTTGTCCCAGGGGATGGGTGTAAGATGAAAGCTCTCCTTGGCACTCTTTAGCTGACATGAACTAACCATGGAACTGCGTGCCCCAAGTTATCCGCGTTGTCCTGCCTCTGCTGTAGATTATACGCCTGCGTGAAGAAGGCTCCCGTCAGCTTGAGGAGCAGCAGAGACTCATTCAAGAACAGATCCGGCTTGAAAGAGAGCAGCACATCCGAGGTGAGAAGAGATGAGATCGGAGCCCTCAGCCAGGCGAGAGGCGCGTGGGGCCCCAGCTCTTCTGCAGACACAGCCGGCGTACAGGTGCCACCATCTGGCATGGTGACATTGCCGCATACAGGATCCTACCCGGCATCTTTTTCAGGCATGAGTGGAAAGACTAGTGTCTCTGGGGTTGCTTTCTTGTACGTGGCGTGCTGCTCTTTAGTGACAAGGAGCTGCACTGATGTGTTAGATGTCGTAAAGCCTTGAATCTGGATGTGGAGCCCCCCAGTTATGCTGGGGGGAGCCTGAAGTCCTGCTCACTGTCACAAAGCAGCCAGAGTTGCAGACTCAAAAAAGGGGATGATTCAAGTGTGCAGAAAATAAGTTGTCATTGGGTTACTGCTTCTGTGTTCCCTTGAAAGTTCTTAGTAGCTGTCACCCAAAAGAGACTCGGCGTGGAGCATAAGGTTTTGTTTTCTGTGGTGGCCGAACCTTTACTTTGTGGAGCTTGATTCTGTCGCGTTCCGTGGGTGTACACTGCCTTCGCTCCAGGTTTGTGCAAAGGCCAACAGCAGATCTGTCAGGAACTGGGGAGCACCTGCCTTCTGTGCTGCCTGCAGCAGTAGGCAGTTGCCGTGTTTGTCCTGTATTCTTGCGGGCTGTTCAGTAGCTGTAGTTAGTCCCCTTTGTACAGGAAGGGATGGGGTTTTTCCAGAATCCCAGAACTTCATCCCTTGGTATTCCTGAACCTCGCTCCCATACACACATCCCTATAGTGAATTCCAGTTTTTAATATTCTGTATCTGTATACAGTTCTGTGTTTCGGGAAGTTCTGTTCTGCTTTTCAAGTGCTGTTCAGGTTTTCAGTTCAATGGGAAGATTTTTGTTTCTTGCTTCCTACCCCTTTCAGTCTGGCAGAGGCTACAGTGTAAGACCTGTTGCTTTCTCCCCAGAAAAATGTTGATTTAATGAGTTAAAAAACCACCATCACCAGAGGTGAAGATGCAGAAACTCTTTTTGGGGTTGCCAGGGTTTTCCTTTATGACTGTGAGTCCCTCAGCCCACCCAGCCTTTCTTAAGGACCAGGAATTGAGGAGGATGTTGAGCATTGGCTTAGTGCAAACCACTTTGAGATCTTTGTAATGAAAGCACATCTTATCAAGTATTTAGTTGCCGGGCCAAATTAAATTCTTAGCCTTGTTTTTTGTCTGCTCTTAAGGTTTGGTGCTCGTTCCCCCCAGCACACCCCCCTCGCAGGGTGAAATGTCACAGAATCTAACAGGTCTCCTGCTTGTATTTTTACGTAACTGTTTCTGGCCTTGGTTGTGGCAAGTGTGGGCATCGCAGAAGGGAGAAACGCTGACACCCGATACTCGGTCTGTAGTACAGCTCCTGATGGTAGTGTCACACAGGCCTCTGGGGGCTGAAACGGTCTGGTGGGAACCCAGAACTGCGTTTGCTATAGCCACGCGTACGTTCTCGGGGTGAATTTTGTGCTAGTGCTCTTCAGCTGAGGCGTTTTCACCCACGTCCTTTCCATCTTTTGTTCCTTTCCTCTCTTTAGGCAAGCAAACAAGGAATGGAGCAGAAGGCAGAATAACTCCCAAACTCAAAGTAAGACCCTTCTCTTCTCTCTCTTCTGTCTGGTCTAGAGTTTTGAGCCTGAAATTGAGTTCTCTGTGCTTTAGGCATGGGGGAACATCTGCCTGGTCCAGCCATCAGTTTGCTTTCAAGCATGATCTTTTTTATTCCAGTGAGCAGTGTTTCTCTCTGTACCCCAAATAACATGTCCCCATTGCATGTTCCCATGTTGCAATCACCGTCTTGGCAGTTCTGGGAGCGTGGCTGTAAACAGCAGACGTGATTAATGTGCAGGTGGCAGGAGGCGCGTTGAGCGTGGCAACGTGTGTTTAAATGGAGAACATCAACTCCTCTTGTTTACTTCCCAGCTAAAATGGAAATGCGCGCAGGAAGATGAGACGAGGGGGGGATACTCGAAGGACGTTCTGTTGCGGATCCTGCAAAAGGTCCTGTCTGACACTTTCCTACTACTTGATCCCCCCTGACGCTTTCCTCCTACTTGACCTTCCCCTGCTGTCGGTGGTGTAAGAAAGGACAAATTCTGGGAAGCTGCATACAAACTGGAGTGCCTCGTTTTCGTCTCCGTTGTCCAGCTTGCTCCCCCATGCAGGTTTGGGAGCTGATCAACGCGATCCCTTAGCTGTGAGCGATCCCCAGCTCGCATGTCTGTCTCGCCCCCAGCCAAAACACAGCGACTGCAGACCCTTCCCACTGAACGGTTCGTGCCCTGTGTAAAAGTCGGGCCGAGTGGTTCCGGTGCGCTTTTGCCTGCACTAAAACACCGTGTTTGGCTGCCGTGGGAGGTTTGGAGGCAGGAACAGACAAGCCTTTGATCTGATTAATCCCAGCGTGTGATCTCTGTTTTCCTTTCACACGAGTATCTCCTGTAGCTCTGACTGAGCTGAGCAGCCTGCTTGCGCCAGGGCTTGCGGGAAGCAGCGTGCAGTTCCTTGCCTCCCCAGAACTGTTTCCTGGAGGGACACAAATTATGGCAGGTTGGGCTCAGTGGGAGCCTTGTGCGAGACAGAAAGGGTGACGGCTCCAGCCTTGTGTCTGAGAAAACACATGTTTTCTCTCTGTTCCGTAGGGGAGCTTGACTTCTCTGCTGGGTCTGTAATTAACTTCTCTTTCTTTGTTTCTCTTACCAGTATGGCGATGTGCTCAATTTGTTGATCTCCAGTAGGAAGACTGGGAGTGCAGTGGTGGAATTTGCTACGGTTAAGGCGGCTGTAAGTCTGGCAGAGGCCCCGGGTGGGGGTCATGGAGGGTGGGCAAGGAGGAGTGTTGCAGAAGGGACGGGCTAGCAGAGTGATGGCCTCGAGACGCTGCCTTCTCATTAAGGCAGTGGAGGAGGGTAATGAGAGTCTGGAGGTGCAGATGCATGAGGGGAGTGGCAAGGCTGGAGGCATAAACCCGGAGCAGATCATGCACATAAACAACCAGGCTGTGCATGTAAAAGGCTGAGGAGAGAGACACTACTTTAAAGAGCAGGCACTGAGCTAATCAGCTCTCACTGAAGGTGAATTACCCATTGTGGAGATGGGCTTAATGAGCTTTGGAGGTTATATTAGGCATTTGCAGTTCAAAAGAAAACAAAATGTCCTGACTCACTATGAGTTATAATAATTCATGTGGCTGTGGACCCAGAAATCACCAGTTACCCTTAATTTTAGAAGTTCCACCAACTTAAACTTACACTGTTCTTTCCTCGACACCTGATCTTTTACTCACATGTCCAAATAATCAAAAAACCCAGAATTGTCTGTGACCTGTTTATCAGAAGTCCTGGCAGGGATATGTTTTATCTGCTTGATGCAGTTACAGACCTAGAAGTGTGCTTCTTGTGTAGGGCAGCTGTGAAATCTTTGTGCCTTGATGCCAGGCTGGGACAGAGAAACTCCCGTGGTTGTTAGTGAGCTGCGAGGGAGTGTGGTCAGAAATTGGGGTGATGATGGGAGAATTATTGTCGTTGGCAGGAGATGGCTGTGAAGAACGAAGTTGGCCTGATAAATAATCCTCTAAAGATTTCCTGGCTGGAGGGCCAGCCCCGGATCAATCCCAGCACTGTCCTTCCTGGCAGCAGTAGCCAGCCTAGCACTTCACAGGTAAGGAGACACAGGCTGCTCTTACTTAGGTCTGTTTCTATAGCAACCTGAATTTAACAGCATGCTTTGCTTTTATGGGAAGAGATGCTGATTGTCAGCAGAGCTGCAAAGAAGCCGTTAATGAAAGGCCTGGCTTTCTGATAAGCCTTTTTATGCTGAAGCAGTGGCTTTTTAGAAAGGAACTTTTGCCTGAGAGCAGTACAGAACACAGGCTGTTTGCGTGACTGATCTTTGTGCAATCTCCCTCTCTTTCTTCCAAGTGAAAAAGAAGGATGTTCCTCACAACAGGATGAGATTTCTTAGGGTCTGCAGGAGGGAGAAGAAAGCAATATCAAATCAGATAACCTTGTAGAGGCCTAGTTGTTTGGTTTTGGTGCCTCTTCAGCAGGGTTGTACAGCTCAGTAGACTCTTTGAGTATAAGGTGTTTGCCAGTCCTTAGCTGCTTCCTGCTTTTTCCACCAGATAATCCTTCTGAAGCTGTTCCTTTTGGATAGCAGATGTATTCCAATCACAAGGTCACATCTAGTGGTTAAAACATAACCAGTCTGAGGACATGCAGCAGGAAAGTGCTGGCTGACCCTTACCCCTTGGCCCTCTGGAGCCAGAACTACATCCACTTCTGAAGTGCGTTACGCTACACTTCACTCTCTAGCTCGGAATTTATCTTGTGCTCTGCGTGTCTTCTCTTCTAGTTAGTAATTCCTTGGCTGTGCAGGGACCTGAGAGCCTTTGCTCTGGTTATTTCAGTTCCACACTTCATGTGACACCGATCCTTCCCTGTGGTACAGAGATCAAAAAGATCTAATTGCTGAGGGAGCTCCCGCCTCATGCTCTACAGGTTCCCTCAGTCTGTGTCTGTCTCAGCCCTGTGTGTTGCTGCCTCAGTATTGTAGCAGCTTGTGAGATTGTTCAGTGCACTCACTCTCCTGACTTTCTCCAACTACTGTATTTACAGTGGAGGTGTTTGTACTTCAGAATGCCCTGATGTTTGCCTAGGTTTGTTAGTGGTGTATATTTTCACTTGGGACGTGTGTTCCCTGTCTGCACAGCCTGGCCTGAGCAGCGTAGTCACCCAGAAATCCTGGGCAGAGGCAGTTACAGCGTCGTAGCCCGGGAGCCAAGCAGGTCTGCACAGCGTAGAACCAGGGAGAGCCTTGCAGACACAGCAGCACAGCAAGCTCTCGGAGTTGGCCAGAGTGTTGGAAACTGGAGGGGGGGGGGGG